TCAATCAGTAGTCAAAAACCTATTTCTCCCATTTAAAAAACTAGTAGGCCAAGACTAAGCTATGAAATAAGAGATAAACCTACATCTTACTGACTCAAACTATTCCAAAGAACAGAAAAGGAAGAATAACTACCGACTCATTTTATGAGGCTAGGACGTCACTGATATCAAAATTATATAAGGAGAGCAGAACAAGTAAAATTATAGACCAATCCCACTTATGAACATATGCAAAAAAAAACTAAATAAATATTACCAACTTGGGGGTGGCTCCATAGTGTAGTGGTTAGCACATGTGCTTTACATGCAGAAGGTCCTGGTTCACGCCCCAGGTGGAGCCATGGACCATATCTCAGGGGCGCCAGGCCCTGGGGGCGCGCCAGGAGCACATGGCAGGGGAAACGCCCAGCCTTCAGAGATCCAGTTCTTAAAAAGGGAGATGGCAACATCCATAGGTCAGGGGTGGAAGTGGCGGTTGGGAGTTGAATTAAAGAAGGAAAAAAATATATATTACCATCAAGTCTAGCAATGTATAAAAAGTTAATAAAATATTTCATCAAATCAAAAATGTCACAGATTATAAGATACACCATTTCTTTATATACTAAGAAAGAAAAATGTCACTTCAACCATAACGTAATGCTTTCTTATAACTCATACATTTTATTTTATACTTAATGAAGCTTTCTAGATTTATTTACACAGATTTTTATCATCTAGCAATCTTATACATTCATAACAAGGAAAACATAAGCTAAATAAGGTAAGACTTCATATTTAGAGTCCAACTCTTCTAAATCACTTTTCAACTCAGTTTTTGATATTCATTCTTGCCATCAAAAGGTGGTAGCGTAACATTTTATACGTCTTCACCATTCTCTCTGGCATTTTCCTCTAAGCCACTGACACACCTTCTGAAAGTTTTGATGTTGAAATTCTCTTTAACTTACCAGAAGATAGCAACAGAAAGTTTTCAGGCAACAATCAAGATTCATAGTCTTTCCTCAAGTGTTCCTTAAATGGTTGTAGGCTAAAACACTAAGTAATTACAGGTGACCAAATTCAAGCAAGAACAATCAGAAGAGGCCATTGACTATAAAACATATTCTAATTGCAGAAATGTGAAAATATAAAATCTGCATCTCAAAATCTAATATGGTATAACACAATCAAATAGGGTTTATCTCAAGATTTCAAGAATAGTTTAACATTAGGAAATCTATTAAAGTAGGTCACCACATTAACAGATTAAAGAAAAAAATTCGATGTATCAGAAAAGCATTTGATAAAATTCAACAATCATATCTTTTAGCAAAACAGAAATAGAACAGATTTAAACTTATGCAGCTGGCTACCTGCCAATATTTCACAGCAAAAATAAAAAACAGTAAAATACTAGAAACATCCCCTTTAAAGGCAAGAACAGGATAAATGTGACTGTCATAATTGCTTCTATTTGATATTATGCAAAAGGTCTTAGCCAGCTTAACAGAATAGGAAAATAGTAATAATACAAGGACTAGAAAAGAAAAAAAGGATTAAACTGTTATTATCAACTCAGATATTCCAAAATAATCTGCAAACTACTGTACTATAAGAGAGTTCAGCAAGGTTTAGAATACTAAATATATAAAACAATATATAAAACTCCACAGAAGGCCTAAACAACAGCAACAAATAATTTTAAAATATAAGTTTTATAAAAAATCCTATTTATAACAGCTTCTAAGTCAAGACACAGAGGAATAAATCTAATCAAGGATGCAATGCATTTTTATAGGAAATATTTAAAGCTTTATTGAAAACATTTACTAAAAAAAAAGAAACTGAGGTACTTGGTAAGATATAAATGAAGTGATATAAAATATTTATGACTGGGTGGTATACACATATATATGTATACTTAAAAATGCAGTCATTTTTACCCAAAATAATCTATAACATCATTGCAATTCTAATCAAAACGCTTAACTCAACAAGCTGATCCTAGAATTCACATGGAAGACACAAAAGATGAAATCTAGGAATAGCCAATAAAATTTTGAAGAAAATAAAGAAGGGACTGAGGGAATCATCCTACCATATACATTTCAAGGCTTTTTTTTATAAAGTTTTAAGAATTAAAACAATGTAGTATTGATGTAATAACAATCTACCAAACCAGTAGGACAAAATATTTAAACAGAAACAAACCCAAATAAAGATAATATGATCAATCCAATGGGATGCAACAAAATTTGGTATATAATAGAGGTAGTATTACGAATCAGGGGGTATGAAAACACTGGTTAGCAATATGGGAAAAAAACGTATCCACAACACATACCATGCACAAAAATTAATTCCAGATGAATTAAAGGCCTAAATGTGATAAACGAAATTTTAAAACTCATAAAATATTTTTAAAATCTTTACTATTGAAGCAGGAAAGAATTTCTTGTATAAGTACTAAAAACAAACTTTAAAAAATACAAAACAGTATATAAAAATAAAAATATCAAATAAAAATATTTATCAAATATCAAATTCTTCTGTATATTTTTCAAAAGTGAAAAAGCCTTAATCTGGGAGAAAATACTGTGAAAAGATAAGTGGTTAAGTAGACAGAGAGACAGGCAGACAGGCAGGCAGGCAGGCAAGCAGGCAGACAGACAGACAGACAGACCAGAAAGTCAATTCCAATGGAAAAATATAGGCAACAATATAAATAGGCAATTTTATAGAACTGAAAATGGCCAAAAGATTTATGAAAATATGTTCAATTTCAAAGCAATTTCTAATAAGATGAGATATAATTTTATACCCTGCAGATTGGCAAAAATTTTAAGTTTAAAAATACCAAGAAACTTGGCAAGGCTGTAGAGATACAGACTATTATACATTGCAGGGAGAATACTAACTGGTATCATCACTTGATAAATATAAAGATGAGGGGCCCTGAACCCCAGTAATTCCACTTCTAGGTACAAGCTCTGGAAACACTTTCACATATGTACCCAAGGAAACATGTACACAGAAATTCAACGTCATGGTGTTTAAAATGATGTATAATTAATAACCAAAATATTTACTATTGGATAAATACATTATAGTATAGAAATATACTAAAACACTCAAAAATAGCTAAAATGAATGACTGGATAAGTCTCAAAACTGTATGTTAAGAAGGAAATAAAAACAGCAAAAGTATACTTTTTATACATTTAAATCCCAAAAACAATAAATTTTACATTGTTATAGGGATGATATATATCAAATATCAAAACTACTTCTCAGTAGTCTTTTCCTAGGGAGAAAGGGTGGGGAAAATATATAATAGGGAGTGGGTGGGGGAGGGTGGCAATTTACATCTGTACTCTTTTATTTCTTTAAAGAAAATCTGAAGCAAACATAACAAAACATTACTATTTTTTAAAGCTAGATGGAGGGTACAAAGGTATTTTTTTTTCTGTCCTTTCAGAATGTTGAAAATGTTTCATAATTTAAACATTTTACATAGAAAAGATCTGGCAATATGCATGATATGCCCATTTTAAAAGACAGCTTTTAAAACAAAGATGGGGCTAAAAAAGGAGATGTTTGTTTATAATGGGGAAAAATTGAAAATAGAATTAGTTAAATAAATTACAGAATAGCCATATAATGAAATATCATGTAACTATAAAAAAATTATAGTTCAGAAGCATGGTTATTAACTTAGAAAGATGTTGACAAAATTTTAAGTGGGGAAGAAAAAACAGGTTATAAGATTATAAGTTTTCAACTAAGGTATTAAATTCTTAAACAAACCTTCTCCTAGCTGCACTAAACAAGCCATATTTCCATTAATGCACCTGCCATATTTTAATCTCATATCAACCTGCATTCATGGAAAGAAATTAACTACAAGGAGCCTAATAATAATAATAAGTACAACAGATTAATTCTAGTTTTAATACTGATACAGAACAGCTGCCAACAATAATTATTAAATAATTAAAGCCAAAAATAATTATTTCCCAGTGTTGGTGCCAACAATCCCCACCTTTCCAGATGAGACCAGCTCTAACCACCCAGTCTGACAGGTACCAGAGGTAGCACAGTCACATAAGTTACTGATCGTATATACCAAAAAGTCCAATAAAATATAATGAACTATATGCAAAATAAAATGTCAGGTATCAATGAAACCTAAA